ACCCCCCCAGCAGCTTCAGCTGAATCGCAAATTCCACCTGAGATAAAACAGGATCATATTTTGACAACAGCAAAAACAACAACAGCGCCAATCAATTTCATCTAACTTCTTCTCTTTCCCCACACCCCCAAAGTATGGTTATTACCCCTTGGATACCACCTAAGAGATTTCCAAACAAGGGTTTTATTTTCCTTCTAAAAACTCTCTCCAGCTAAAGAAAAAGGGAACAATAAATATTAAAATGAAAGCTTTATTTAATACTTTACTTTACAAAGTTTTAACAGTTTTTCCTTCTTTTCTTTTACTTTACTAAAAAGTTAAAAGGACTTTTAATGGTCTGTTTGCCCTGGTACTAAGCAGGCTGAGGTCTTTGTATACCAGACACTGTACTTTGTTTAACACTGTTTAATGTTCAACAGGGACTGGGTTATGGTAACACCTTTGGCCCATTTATTCCATCTAAATTAATACATCATATCTCCAAATAATTATGTTGTTAACTAGTTAATTACTGATTATCATACCAAAAACATCCACATATCTTTTACATGTATAGATAGCCTTTTCTCTCAGAAGATTTGAAAATTTAACAAAGTAATAATCAAATGTACAAACTACAGCTATATTCAATACAGATAGACTTTCCTGTGGAGTCAAAAAAATTCCAATTAATTTGAAAGGATGTTTTATAAAATAAGGCCAAGGGTGAAATAGGGAAAAAGTTAAATATAGTGTCATGAATTCAGGTGAGATGCTTACCTCCATTGTTCTTAAAAAAAAATGTGTTGGACTTCTGCTGCGCATCTTGGACCTGATCCAAAGTCTACTGAAATCAATGGGACTATTTCCATTGACTTCTGTGGGCTTTGGATTAGGCCGCTTCCAGGTGCTGGATGAAACTTTGTTCTGTAGTAAAGAATTTTTAAAAGCTAATATTTTGATTGACCATCTTTTGATGTGATTATTCTTATCTTTATTTTAGCCTGCAGAGTAAGAAATATTAATAGTCATAAAGCCAGCAACCCTTATTAAATCTGGTGTAAATGTGTCTGTAAGTGAGGGATGCATTCTCAAAAGGTTTGTTGGTGGATAAATTGGATAAGAGCCCCACAGAATGGATACTTGTTTAAATTACTGAATCATTGGTTTCCACCCAATGGGAGCTGCAGGGGCAGTGCTTGCAGGCGTGGGCAGTGCATGGAGACCTGCTCCCCCGCCCCACCAGGGACATGCAGAGACATGCCATGGTGCCAGCAGCTGGCCACTTCTGGGAGTGGTGTGGGGCCATGGCATGAAGGCAGCCTGCCTGAGCACCCCACTATGCTGCCAGCCAGGAACCGCCTGTGGTAAGCACCTCCTGGCCAGAGCCTGCACCTCACACCCCCTCTTGGACACTAACCCCACGCCCAAGGTCAGAACTGCCTCCTGCACCCAAACTCGCACCCAGACCCTGCACCCACTCCTGTACCCCAATCCCCTCCCCAGCCCAGAGACCCCTCCTGAACCAAACTCCCTCCCAGAGCCCTCCCCTTCTCCTGCACCCCAACATAAATTTCATAGAAATGTGCGGCCCATGACGACTTAGCAAAATTCGTGGAGTGGCCCCCCCTGCCAAAATTATTGCCTGCCCCTTCCCTAGAGGATGAGAGGTTGTACTTCAGAGTTTATAACAGCTCCAGCAAGAAATTGCAATAATGGGGAAGGTGTCTGGAAAAGTGAGAGAACAAAAATTAAAGGAACAATTTGTGCATTGTGGGTTGAGGAGCCCAAGGCTTGATCCCACAACTTTCTCTAACATGGGGTTCTCTGAAGTTTTAAATCTTGAATAGAAATGTAACTACATGAAAATACACTCCACTCACAGCTCATTAATTCCTCGTCTCCGGGAGCTCCAAGATCAGGAGCTGTTATACTGTGACTCCACAACTTCACAGATAAGGAGAAAATCCTAATAGCACTGCAGAGACCGGGGGTGGGGGTGTGTGTGTGTGTGTGGAGAATGTATTTTAGTGTTTCTCCCCAGTTACATCTTTCAGTAAATCCTCTTTTATCTGGCAATGCTAAAGGTCACAAAGGCAATGTGGTGTAGACAGTCTACAAATCCTGCAAAACAGCAGCTTTCATTTGACAGAGGGAGATTGAGGTGTGAGGATATGAAAAAGCACGATACTCAGAAAATAAAACCAATCACTCTGTCTCTCAGAGACTGAGTTAATGCCAGGTTTATTCCATTTCATGCATGCTCTCTTGCTTGCACTCTGTTAACGTGGAGGTGGATTCATTTACTTTCTCTTTTCTAAATCTTGTCTATCGTTTTACCCTGCTTCTGAAATTTCCTTTTACACATCATTGATACCTGTCAGTATTTAGTTGCAGTTTGAATGGAGATTACAATGGCCATTTTTTACAATGATACCTTTTACCTGTCCAGCTCAAATCAGGAATTTAATACTTACAGATTGCTCTCTAGTCAATGACTATTGTCTCTTTTATGTCTCTCTGACATAAGGTACTATTACTTTTCTCACAATGGTGTCCAGCCTGAGCAGGTTAGGTTTTATTTCTTTGGTACTTGTCATATCATAAGTCTCCTAATTTTCCTCTCATCCATAGAATCTGCTTAAAACCCAAAATTTTAATTGTAGAGCCCCTCCCTCTTTTGAAATAGCATTTTAGGCCCCCTTTACATATTGTAAACAAGCTAAAAAGGACACCGCCCTTCTTCGTTTCCTTTGCAGGTTGCCTTTAAAACCTCCATCTTACACAATGTTTTTTTCAAGGACAAGATGGTGCTCCCAACACAGCCTGAATTCCTTCCAAAGTTGGTGATGGTGTCCCACCTTCATTAGTCAATATCCCTTTTCATGTCATTCCTTTACTCACATCTGGTGCGGTGAAGACCTTCTTCACAAGATCAATGTAAAAAAAGCCCCTGAGCTTTTATCTGGAGCAGACTTCATTTCTCAGAAAGTCATCACAAAGGCTGTGAGAAATCTTAGTTCTTGTGCTGTTTTGAATGCAAAGACTGTTGAAATCTATCTTGCATTACCATGGCTGCTAGACTCCACAGAGGAAGGAGGGAGGATCAAGAGCCGTGGTTTACCTGACTTGGGCATGATAACACCAAGGATGGTACAACAGACTTTCTCTCTCTGCACTGAGGCACAATAACTTTGAGTTCCTGCTGAGGATCCCTAAAGCTGACACATATTGTCATAATTGATCCCAAAATGTGTATACACCTACATACATGTGTGAGTGTGTGTGTTTTTATATAGTAATAATGTAACATAAAATTGCTACTGTTCAAGATGTATGTTTACTGTGTTTATCGTCTCACACTTCCTATTGCAGTTCTTTTTCTTTGACATATCTGCAGCAGTTTAGTCTCCCAGAATGGAAATCTATCAAAATAGGTATTTTCAGAGAGGAAATAATTCCTATCATTGTTTTCATTGAGGAGATACATCTTGACAGATTACCACTCCTCACCAAAATGGGGACTCTGAAATTTGAGTATATGTATATTGTTCATATGCTTTTGTTTTAGAAATATATCACTCCCTACTAGAAAGAGAACTGACAATAAAACCACAGTGGACTGTCTAGGTCCCTAAGCATAGGTGTTGCAGGATATCCCCTGCTTGGATTAATATCTCAGATCTTCTACCTACGGGAATTCTCATTAAGTACATGTAGGTTCAAGCTCCTAAAAGTGTTATCTATGGACTATGGTATCTTCCAGGTCAGTGTTTCTATGCCATGCTGCATGAGCCCCCAAGATCAAGAACCCAATGCTAAAATGAGAGAACATTTCAATTTTATGTTATTGTATTTAGGTTCATATATCCTGTTCATCACCAACATGTACTGGCATTAGAAAAGGTTCAGAAAAGGGCAACTATAATGATTAGGGGTTGGAACAGATCCCATATGAGGAGAGATTAAAGAGGCTAGGACTTTTCAGCTTGGAAAAGAGGAGACTAAGGGGGGATATGATAGAGGTATATAAAATCATGAGTGGTGTGGAGAAAGTGAATAAGGAAAAGTTATTTACTTGTTCCCATAATATAAGAACTAGGGGCCACCAATGAAATTAATGGGCAGCAGGTTTAAAACAAATAAAAGGAAGTTCTTCTTCACTCAGCGCACAGTCAACCTGTGGAACTCCTTGCCCGAGGAGGTTGTGAAGGCTAGGACTATAACAGGGTTTAAAAGAGAACTAGATAAATTCATGGAGCTTAAGTCCATTAATGGCTATTAGCCAGGATGGGTAAGGAATGGTGTCCCTAGCCACTGTTTGTCAGAGAGTGGAAGGGGATGGCAGGAGAGAGATCACTTGATCATTACCTGTTAGGTTCACTCCCTCTGGGGCACCTGGCATTGGCCACTGTCAGTAGACAGGATACTGGGCTGGAGGACCTTTGGTCTGACCCAGTATGGCCATTCTTATGTACCATCATTACATGCCAGAAGATTATAATTAGTATAATACTCAAAGTATAATTTAAATGCTCTTTGATGGCCATGGTTAAGTAGCAAACCACTAAAAGATGAAATTACTTACTGCATGCTTGATTGATAGAATTGATACTTGCCCTGGATAAAACATAAATATTGCAGAAAATAATTTGATATGACATTTCTGGCATTCAGCTATGACTTAAATTATAGACTGGTCAGTAAATGATCTTAAGCTGTTTAAGGTTTCATCAGCTGTCTGCAAGATTGATTTTCTTCAAAATTACTGTACTGAAAAGTTTTCTTTTGTTGTTGTACTGACTCAGATCGCAAACCACAATTTTAAGATCAGCTCTTATTTACAAAAATGCTTTGACATAGTGCATTTGTTCAGCCGAGGCAGCAATAAAGGACTGTGGTATCATTTTGAAGAAGGTTGTTTGACAGAGTCTGTTTGTTTATTTGAGGAATGTGAGCTGCATTCAGAAAATGTCATATTTTGTTTCATGATTGTGTACATTCTCTCCCACTGCTTCCAGGCAAGCCCTGTAAGCAGAGAAGACGCGGATTTAGACCTTATTTCCATGATCAGTGGAAGTGCTTTGACTCAGAACAGAGAAAAAAATAATCAGCCACACAGACACTCAGCAGGATCTTCAAGTAAGTTGTGGTTTCTTTCAATATTCACTTTAAAATGAGTTGATGGAATTGCCTGTCTAACTGCATTCTCATATAGACGGGATAGGATGCCAGCCTTTGGAATGTCTAGTAACATGTATATTTGATTCTTTCTTACTTGAAACTTTCCCTTTATGTTTCACATATTTATTTATAATGCTAAATCACTTCAAAAAATTAACATCATTAGATTTTTGTCTGTTAGTTAATTGTAACCTGTGATTCTCCTGTAAACTATACCAAATCCTTTGATCATTCATTTCCTAAAAAACAGATTTTTGTCTAACTCTTAATTATGAAAGGAAAGTTTTGTACTCCTAAAGAATTGATTTCTTGTCTTTCTTCCATAAAAGTTCATTAAAAATATTTAGGGAAAGTTGATTTCTATAACCACCCGGATGCCAGTACATATGTCCCAATCAAGGCACGTATTGCCATGAATTCAGTTATTAAATGGGGATGGAGATAGTGATGACTGTTGGACTCTAATAGCAAATGGTATTTTCAAAGTTCTGGGGAAACTTTATCACTGTTTAAATGTCATAGAAATAAACAAGGGAATCAACACTGGAAATAAAGGTTCTAATTATTAAAAATCATAAAAAACTTAACTTTTTAAGCTTCAAGTTTTGCTTTGCATAGTAAAACTAATTGAGGAAAATTGGGGAATCATCTGTTGTGTAATATATTATATTTCATATGCTATTTATACTTTGGATGTAGATTTTGGAAAATGTGACTTTCAAGCGTAAGTGAAATTCAGGTGAAAAAAAAGACCGCATAGGAACTATAAGGGATATTAAAAGACGAAGGCAGATTTGTGTAGTTCAGTAGTACTGTATAACTAGTGGAGTTCATTGAGATTGTTCATATCATTGTGAAATAGGTGATTTCAACAAAAAGTAAATCAAATTGCTGGTTTTAGAAATTTTGATCAGACTGTTACCATTGACATTAATATTGACTGTTCAGTTTATATGAACTTGAACCAAAGTCCAATAAACTGATGTCCTAAAAGAAAAAAAGTAGATATAAAACCATAAGGAATACTTTTTAAAATCTATATTTTGCTACTATAATTAAAAAACGTTTAAAACAAAGGGTGAAATGACGATACAGCTGGAATACAGTCAGTCAGAAAATCCACTAAGGGCAAAAAAAAAACCCCAAAAATTGCATCTAATCCTACACTAAGTTAAATTGATGGCAAAAGTCCCACTGAGATGAAAGGAAGTAGGGTTGAGCCCACTGTGCTCATAAGTGTACAGAGATACAAAGTCCTGTAATGAACACTTGAATGAACTGTTCATAAATAAATACATATATAATGAATGCATCTTATCTATAATTCAATTAAAAAAACTTCATAAATGCAACGTATCTTGGACAATATATATGGAGAAACCTTGACTCACATATAATGATGAAAAGTGGGTGTCTGTTTTATTAAATAATACAACATATAACAATTGTGGCCTAGGTTGTAATCCTAGCCCTATGTGACCATCCTGATAAACATCGGGGGGAGGGGCATGTATTACCTTCATCCCCCGGATAGCCATGTAACTTTATCCCAAAGTGGGAATTGGGCACAAAGGGGAGGACAGACACCGCCACCATGCAAACAAGTGGACAGGAAGGAACAAAATGTTGGCAGAGCCGTATTGTGTTTGGGAGTGTGTGAAACAGGGGTGGGGTATGCTGTGAGTGGCAGTAGGCCCCTCCCCTGCCATCCTCCCCTGCACAACCCAGGAACTCAGGGAGAATTGTAATTCAGAGTAGTGCCCTTGTATTTCTGTCTTTGTTACAGATTTCAGAAGACTATTCATAATAAAGGCATACAAAACCAAGATTGTGTGTGTGTGTGTGTGTGTGATGTTAATTCCAGTATAGACAAAAATACAAGTTAGAGTCTCTCTGCTTGTCCCCATTTGCCATCGTTCATTCACAACCCTCCTTTGGCTCAAGTGAGTACCCTGTTCCATGGTCACATTTACTGTAGCTGAATACTATATTGAATTCAGAAACACGTGGGGTCTTGGACTCAGAAAGGCAAAACTCTCTCTCTCTCTCTCTCTCTCTCTCTCTCTCTCTCAACTTGTCTTTCCTACCTTGCTCTCTGCCCCTCCTCCCTCACCTACTCCTGCTACACGTCACAGCCCCTCACATCTTGCCATTATGCTTCCGTGAGCCATCTTTCTCTTCCTTTTATTTTCGCTTTCTCTCTTATATTCCCTCTTTCTTTCTTTCTTTCTTTCTTTCTTTCCCACACCATGTTTTCATATTTTCCTGTTCTTTTCCTGCAAGGGGTGTGGTGGGGCAGGTAGCTGGTGCTCCCATTATTCCTCTGCAGTGCGGCACAAAGAAAAGGAGCTCTGATTAGGATCAATGAGAACTATGAGGAACAGCCTCTTCAGCACATATTGCAATCCAACCAGCTCTGTGTTCTCAAGACAGAGATGCAATTCACTGAGATCTAGAACTCAGAACTAAAATCTGAGACAGTGACAGCCAAAATGAGACTGTTAGCAAAGTTCCTACTGGAGAAGGGAGCTCAAGTTCTCAGCTGTTCTCTTCCCCCATCCCTCCCTTTCCTGGTCAAGGAAGCCCAATGACTCATTTCTCTCTTTCTACCCTGTACTCTCCCAGGCACGGGGTGGATAAGGGAAATGCAGTAGAACAGTATATCTCAACTTTAGTAAGGCATCTGATATGGTGCCACATAATATACTCATAAAGAAAATTGAGTGCTGTGGATTAAATGGAGCCACTGTACTACAACAAGCTAAAACATCAACAGAAAGAACAGGGATATAAGAACTGCCATATTGGATCGGACTAGTGGTCTGTTTTTTTCGGTATCCTGTCTCTGCCACTGGCCAGCACTAGCTGCTTCAGAAGAAGGTACAGGAAACTTTGAAGTGGTCAGTTATTGGATAACCTGCCCCCAGGAAAAATTTCATCACAACCCAATTAGTTAGAGCTTGACTTGTGCTCTGAAACATGAGGGTTTATATCCCTTTGAAAACTCTTGGCTGTTAATTTTTTTGTTTTTTAATCATTGCTATTATACCTCTGGGTCTTCTCATTATCCACATAAATGTTCAATCCATTTTGAATTTTGTGAAGGTGTTGACCTCAGTGACATCTTGTGGCAGAGAATTCTGAAAGCAAAATGGAATATTGTGTTAAAAATAAAACGTTTATGATTATTAAATATTCAGCCTTTCAATTTCATTTCCTATCCCCTTATATTTGTATTAAGAGACAGGGTGAATAAGTAGCCAGTATATCTTCTCAATTGCCTTAATTAGTCTGTGTGCCTTTAGCAGTGATTATTAGTGATTTATTGTCAAATAGTCATGCAAAGTTCAGGTATGGGTCCAATACTAATTAATATTTTAATTAATGTCAGAAACTTTGCAGTAAATAGGACAGTAACCAAGCTTGTAGATCATTTTTATGAAAGACTATTAACATTCTAGATGCCTAGGTAATGCAAAATTGTGGATGGGATTTTTTAGAGAGAATTAGAATATAGTATAGCTTTGACAAATTGGAAGGATAGACTAAAATACTTACACCAATGCCCAGTTTGTGGTCATATAGTGCAAGACCTGATCACAGTGACCTGTTTTCAATCTCCTCCTCCCTCTTTCTGTCACTATGACTCTTCTTGTGGTTTTGACTTCCAATGCTAATTATCCCTAAATCTACCTCTACTCCAGACCTCTCCCCACTCCAACCAGTCTTGCACTTTTAAATGTCTCTCTGACATCTCTTCTGCAGTGTCCAGCCACCAGCTCCATTTTTCCTAATTTGAACATATCCTTTTTTTCTCCTAATCGCTGGCCTTCTCGTCCTTTATTTCCATTCTCCTCCTTGTTTCTGAGGCCTATAATTTTGTTGTTATCTTTTAGAGTGGAATTTCCAAAAGCACATGCATGATTTAGAATTGAAAATCAATGGGACTTGTGCTCTTAAATCATACAGGTGCTTTTCAGTATCTCACCTTTAATTCTTACCTCTCCTCCTCCGCACATGCTAATCTCTCGCTGAGTCACTGATTTAGGAAAGCATCACTTCTCAGGCAAGGAAGCTTGCCTTAATCAGATACCTAAATCCCGGCACTTCTTCCTTATCATTCTTTTCCGAATCTACCCTTGACTTATCGTCTCCACTGCTAAACCTTTATACATTCCCTGGTCACCTCTCACCTAAATTACTTCTCTACTACATCACTATATTGTGAAATTAAGTTCATCATGATTAATGAAGCATTTGTATACTACTGTGGTAAGACTACAGAAAACCCTCTAGTTAAATTAACTAATTAAATAAACAGTAAGCTTTTACTGTCCGGTCTCCTGGCTCCAGCTGTCCCTCCTCCAATCTATACAAAATTCTGCTGCAAAAACATCTTCCTTTTCCTCCTCTCTGGTAGAGTCTTCCCTCCTTGTTTCCCGTCATTACATCCTATATTCTAGCACTTCATGATCACTTAGCAAATCTTCTACATTGTTGTCACCTATGAGGCCTTTTACATCTTGTCCTCACCTACATTTCTGCTTCTTCCTACTCCTCCACGCTACCCACTCCCTGAGCTCCACCCAGTTTCATTTGAAGGTTGTGAGCCGTCTGTCATGCTACCTCCTACACCAAGAAAGCTCTTACTGTCCATCCTATTCCTTCAAACCCCTCCTTAATCCACTTCTTTAACCATTTCCTCAGTGTTAGTAATCTCCAGACTGTTATTCCAGAAATGTAGTCTTCTGTATCATCTTTATCTTTATTTTGCTGCTAGCAGTCTGTAAACTCATGGGGCAGGAAACATTTTATTTCTGAGCTAAATCCCAATGTCTTTACTCATATTTTACTGATTCTATATTTAGCTAACTCCCATTGACTCCAGTGATAATATGCCTCAGTATAAAAATGGACCAGGGATCTCCATATTTCACCTTGTATCTTTAAAGAGATAT